TATTATTTAAGAATACAAACTTACTATAACTTTTTATACTTTATGTGCATAATATTCAAGCAAGGAGCAGCTAGAAATTAAAAATATATATCAAATATCGACAGTAGTTCCGAGTTTTGACATGAAATCTGATACTTTATCAATTTCGCGGTCAAGTGACTTCATTGAAATGAGGAGGCAACTAATTATATCTGATAATTGCTTTCTATTGCTACTGTACTCCAGATGTCTAATATTATAGAATAATGTCTACTGTTGTCTAATTTAGTTATGTAAGAAAATAATATGATGTTTCATTGTAATTATTACTTTACTTGGAAAGTTATACATTATGAGTTTTTATACCTATTTTCAGTTTATCATTTTTAACGATATTACTATATTTATATATATGCATGCATGTTGTTTCGGTATGTAACAACAGTTTATCTAATAGAAAGAGCAATTTTGGTAGTTTGTATTAAGTAGTTATATTTTTAGTTGTACGTATATTAATGGATATGAAATTATATGTTACATAGATACAAGAGCCATACGTATTTATGTTACAATTCTTAAACTTTCACGTCTCAGTAGTAACCACTATCTCTCTGTAGTTACGACTCGTTTCATTTTCATTCATTGAGAAACAACCGATACGCTGACCCTTCGCATCTATCACATACTCAGTTCCCAGCGGCAGAGGAAGCCGATATCCGACAATTATTTATGGATCTGTCTGCCGTTAGCCTTATTTCTTATACCGCTTGTAATGCACGGAGTTTAAATACAATCGCAGTAGGAAAGGCAACTTTTAATACAGGGCAAATATAATCGAGTTTTTAAATAAAAAAAATATTCTCGATGTTTCTTAATATTATCCTTATACATAATTATAACAGCAGTAAGTAAAATCAATAATAGTATTTAAATAATATATATATAGCCATTAATACTTTTTTTATTACTTCAATGATTTTATTTACCAACAAATAAATCTACTGTATTACCTTGAGGCTTCGTAAGTTTTTGATATATTACGTGTATTCTTTAATAATACCATAACAGTAAAATTAATACATGTATAATTGACATGTCGCTTGAATGAATCTGACCGAAAATTAAGAAAGGTATTGAATATTCCAGAAGGTTGGTATATAAAAGTTAATAAATCTTACGGTGCTTACGACGCAAACGTCAGCGGAGGCTATAAAGCATTTGCATATAAGATAGCTCTCACTTACCTCATACTATCTTAATTATATCTGCGTCTACAGGACTGGATCTTACAATCATATTGACGTTGAAATTTAAATAATAGATTTAAGTAATTATTGATCTTTTGTTTAGCAATATAACATTTTATTTATTTACTAGCGACCCACCGCTACACCTAAATGAAATCATTCTGTTTTAATAATGAAAATCATATGAAAATCCGTTCACTAATGTTTGAGATTATGGGTAACATACAGACAGATGCGGCGGGGAACTTATTTTTATAATATATAGAGTTTAATAGTACAAAATTTTGGAGAGATAATAGGCACAATATGCATCAGTCTTATTTGAAATATAATGTGTACACTTGAGTGGTACAGCAGAAAAAAATAGTTAGATTCAGGTCTAAAGAACAAAAACATTTAATAATCAAAACAATGTAAGTGAAAGTTAGTTATTAATTACATTTTTATACGAATGAATTGGTCTATTGAAAGGTCCGAAGAAATATCATAGAATGGACTTATTGTACTCCTAATAAGCCATTGGTGAAGCAATATTAGACAATAGACTTAAGTATTATTAAACGGATGTACTTATATTGTTGTTAACTATTACAATAATTTCTGTCAAATACAAAAGATTATAACAAATAAAAATGTATTCTTACAAATATTTTAGTGAGTACTTAATACGATTTTAAGGAAGTAATGCATACAAACATAATTCACAAACATGACTTCTATTAAGGTAGGCTTGTTTGGTAAGAGACGTACCTTTTTCCAAAATTCTCTCTAATTACATACACTATTTATATATCTTCTCCAAATAGAACAATTAATGTAAAAGTAAAGACAGAACAATAACATGAATCTATATTCAAATGACAATGCCAAATAATTTCATGAAAAGCAATAAATAAAATTGAACTCATTTCATCGCAGCTTATCGTTCACCTTTGCCAAAAATCACGAACCGAACAAAGATCACGTGCCCCGTGTAATAAGATTACTTTAACAAAAAGAAATCGAGTAATGCGTACGTTTTGAACAGTTTCCGGAATCTACGTTTCTGTTTCGATACTTCGTGCAATTTTTTGCGGCTACCGACAAAACGGAAACAAATAAAGTAAAATGGGAAACGAATATTTAACGATGGATCAAATTTATAAAGTTAATCTTTACACATGAATAGGTGCGCACGCAGTACTCTTTAAAAATCAGTAATAGTTTATACCAATTGATTTTTAAAATCCTACGTAATATGACACAGTTTTTTTCTTTTAAAGTATCATAAACTCATAATGTTATGATAATTTATTGTTATATATTATCAAATCTGTCAAAAAGTAGGTAGGTCCGACAAGAAAAAGATTTACATTTTTTACATAAAGCAGAAATGTTATTATATTCATTTTTTTTTAATACAGTATACCATACATACGTTATCAACATATTTTCAATATGTTCAGTCAAGTCAATTCTTTCAAAAATTAACTATTTAGTTATCAAAATTTGTGGCTTTTAATTTATAGTATTTAATTCAATATTATAATACTTTAATCATTATTTACGCCAAGATAACGTAACTGAAAAGCATTTGTGATTTAAATTACCAATACAAGTTTATCAGTTTTTCCATAATCGTAAAGTTCAATCTGTGAATTTACTTATAAATCGGACTTATTGACTATGGACACACACATACCTAGACCGAACAGTAGTATACTTTTATTTACAGACTTCTATCACAAATAAAAAGAGTAGAGTTATCTATTCATCTTATCTATCTTGATTCCGGATACCTTATGGGAGTTAGGCAGAGTATATCGGATCCCATCGACTTCTGTTCATACATAGTCTTACTTCATTCACATTCTAACTTGCCTTATGCATGCACGCTAAGTACGAATACCTCTAACTCCTCATTAAGTCTGAGCCTCCTCTCTTGTCTACATCCATCGGCTTAGATAGTATGGTATTAAGTTGTAAGGAAAATAAATATATATATCCTAATTGTGGGATATTTATGCTTAAAATTATTTATTAGTTACTTTTAAATATCTCATAAATAATGATACATGATACAATGATTTCATATTTGTTCATGATTGTCTGAATTATTATTGAAATAATTTTATTTCTTTCTCAACTTTTTTTTTTACTATTACTAATGTATCGAAAATAGTGTGCATGCATATTTTATTTTAGTCGATCACAACGATTATTTGATTAATTACATATTATTCATTGTTCTCGGGTCTCCTAAGCTGTGTGTGCCAACTTAAATGGTACCGTTTTTATTCGTCGCGAACTTCTTTGTCCCTTTATCAGTGTCTTTTTCTTCGCACATGTAAATGCATTTAGCTCCCACCCTGTTATCTCAGCGAACACCATTAATCTTGTATAACAATATACAGAGCAGAGTATGCGCTTCAACGGCTTAATCAACACTGAATGCGATAAAGTTGACACCATTATTTTCTTTTGTAATCTTAATTCGCAACTGCGATAAGGCTTTATATTATAACGGTCTTAGTATCTTTAAAGATAAAAATTCTCAAATCTTTAAAGCTAAAAACATGGAAATAACGGAATATGTATGGTAACACGTAAGATGTGTGCAATGTGCATGCGTATATACTTTGACACATTTTCTGTATTAAAAAATAATATGCTATGTAATTTAATCGAATAATTATAAAAGGAAGCCTATGTAAAATTTGAAAATAGTAATTATCTGAATTAAATATTAACACAAAAATGTATCTAATATATTTTTAGTGAGGTCGGTCTCATCTATTTTACCCGTCAAGCAGCTTGTTTTGTATGTATTTCAGTTAATATATATATATATATATATATATATATATAATTATAGTCAGTTTAAGGCAGTGAAATTACAGGATATAGAAACGTGAGATTACCCGCCGGAATATCAAAACAAAAGTGCTACCACGGTATATTGGATGATATAATGTCGGGCTATTCATGCACATAATTAGGCGATGTTTCCAACTTACCATATGAAGGTGAACTATAAGTTTTTTGCTATTCCAATTAAATAAATCAAAAGCACAACGAATGCTTATCAGTTTCTTTATCAAATGATTGAATTGAATGTAACAATTAATATGTCATGAAATTATGCGTGAAAGCCCAAATATCTTAGTATAGGTAAACGACAATAAACGTAAATATACCTACTCACCTTAACATCTTAAAATTTATTCGCTCGAAATGAATAAATAATTATCACACAACAGTATAACTAATTAAAGCGAAAGCTTGGGGATGTATACTCATATATTTATTTTGTAATATATACATAAAATAATTAGAATTTTCAGATTTATACTAAATTTATAGTCAAAGAATTTATAATAATAAACTTTGTGACTTCGGAAATCGACATCGACAAAAATAAGGTCATCGAAAATAGTTGTTAGAAATTCCAACCAAAATTATTCTTCCAATTTATGATTTTTAAATAACTAAACTTGTCATATACAACTAATTAATTAATTATGTCCAATTTAACTGAAGTTAACTTATTAGTGGATTATTTAATTAGAATTGAGGTAGTAGTAAATTGATAAAAATAATTCAAATGGTTTTTCCTGCTTATGGATTAATTCAAAATTGAATCATAGTGGGAGAAATAAAATGTAGTAATCTTATATAACATCATTTTTATTAATATATTTATTTACAATTGTACTTAAAATATATAATACGTACTATATAATACGTATATGTAATACGTACTATTAAAATACATCCATATATATACAGCACAAGATAAAATGGTCGTATTTTATTTAATTTATAATTTGATATTCACAGCCACAAATTAATTATGTATTTGTACAGTTTTATATATAAAATGTATTGAAAATTAATCTATACCAATTTTGAATATTTATAATTTAATATATTTATAATAACTTAATAATGACTAGAAAATATACTTTACTCCACAATATCTGCTGTTATTTCTGTTGCCACCAAGAAATAGCATCAAGCAATTCAATTTCATTCATACTATCTGTCTGATCCATAGCATGGTATTGTGTGTAACCATTGCTGTTTGGTGAATAGCCAGATGATATACCCGAAGAACACTCGGATCCAACAGGGGATGGTACTGATTCTGCGTATGGTGAATTTCCTCCAAAAATTCCTTCATCTTCATAAAGCATTGCTCTCTCTTTTCCAATAGTCTGTGATTCCACTTTTCTTATCCCAAGAGCTGCATCACTCTCATCAAGTACACTTTCTAAGTGTCTAATATATTCAACAACCATTCTAAGTGTATCGACTTTGCTGAGTTTTTTTCCAGATCCGCGACGAGAACCTCCAGATAGAGCAGCTATTACACTAGCTGGCAATCTCTTCCTCAATGCGTTAAATCCGTCGTTCACTTGTTTCACACGATTCCTTTCCCTGGCATTTCTTCTTGCAATTGATGCAGCCTGTGCCCCAGTGTAAGGGTTATTTGTATAACTGTATCTCTTCTTTTCAGTATCCATAGGCAAACATTTTCTTTCAGGTGCTGGAGCAATTGGCAACATTTTTGGTAAGCCACTTTTAATATAGGAGACGTTTTGTATCCCTTGCAGCATTGTGAGGTCAATGCGTTTGTCGTAGTAGTTGACGTTTCACTACAGAGCGAGTAGGTTCGTTCCCGAGAGCGAGGTAATGAATGAGCACACCGGGCGCCTACGCCGCATTTTATGGGCGCACCTTTCTCAAAAAAATTGGATAGGGAACCTTCCCTCCTTCATTTAAAAATTTTTACCTGAGAGATACTTCCCTCAAAATGAACGAAAGACTTGAACTTACTTATATACGTGCGCGTGTCATTGAATTTATTGACCAGCAGCATTTATGATTAGTTATCAAACAAGGCTCTGTTATTGTTAATATATTTTTTATGTTTATTATTATACTCTCACGGAATACTGTAATATAAATTTAGCAATAAAAAAATCTCCAAATATTTAGATTAAAGATTTAATATTGATACTCTTAAAATACCTTAAGAGAAATACTCGTATTGCTGAGGAAACAATATCAAATTAAGTTCTCAAAATTGTCTTACACGTGTTTTAGTAAACTAAATAAGTAAATAAAAAGTAATTTAGATTTATTTTGAAACTATCCTGCTGCCTAGTTGGTATTAAGTAAAATGCTGATTAGCTCGTCTTTAAATAGGAAATGAAACTTTTGTTTATCTGAGCTAACTGCTGTCCTATTCATAGCATTGTATATATGTATTTACTACATGATCATGACTTGGGTTAGATTTTAAATCTCATCTGATTGAGTGTTAATATAGACCAGTTTAGCACAACACTGGTTTCCCTCGAGGCTGCTGACCCCTGCTGGCACTGCAAGTTATATTTAAGTTTGAGTCCTGAGAAATGATAAGGCATGACATACTTCCTATATCGGGTTAAGATTACCACTTTTCTCCAGGGGAGCTGTCTATTTATTTCTTATTCCAGTTACATATATTATGTCATTTTAGTAATTATTGAATTTCGATCTCGTTCTTCTATTTTCCATATTCTTAAGTAGAAATTTTAAATACCTGCAACGAAATAACTCAAACCCAACATAACAATAATGATGGCGCTTGAATCAGCTGGTATCCAATGGGTTGTACAAACTTTCATTAAATTCATGTTACGGAGACAAGTGAAGTCCCTACAGCGCATAATACTATAGAAAATTTATTACGGTCTGTAAAGTGAAATTAAACAACGAACGTTTCATTGTTTACAATAACAACAGACACCGTAGCCAATAGTAATACCTACAACAAAATAAAATCGCGAGTAGTAATGCAACCATAAAAACACTCAATATGCAATAAAATAAGGTTTATTTTTAAATTTAGTTATAAATTCTCAAATTGAGTCTTAAGACTGGTCAACGCAACCTGCACTCTGGGCGGCATTCGTTCGCTGAATACTGAAAAAAGATTACATTAATATAGAACGAACAGTCTCAGTATACGGCCTCTCAATAGTGAAGGACTCACTATTGTCATGTTCATTGTGTTATAAAAAGATTACACAAGGAATGTGGGCCATGCCATTGAGACACTGGGAAGAATGAATTGTTTAGGAGCCTTCAATCATTCCCATTGACGGAGGCGCTAAACGTGATTTTAATAGACTCTGTGTCGCCTCTAAGAAGCAATCCATATTTAATTTTGTTCCATTGATTCTCTTTGGTTTACCTGCTCTTGCTTTGTTTACGCCATTGAAACCGGTATCTTGAAAATAATGTGCTATGGGATCTCCATTTATGAGCCAAGAAATTGCATTAACCTGTGTATATCTAAAACTTATTTAGATACACTCTTAACAAAATAAACATATTTACTTATCAATATATTTATTTTTACATATAGTACTATAGTTAAGTATCTAATAATAATATTATATGTTTCTTTGAAAATTGGCATTATGTGCCTTTACACATAATGTCAATTAACACATATGACAATATTATATTAAAACTTACACATAGAATTATTATTTTATTATAATGAAAAGTAAATATGATTTAAGATAATTTTTGGACATATTACGAAATTTTATGTTATTATTTAAAAACAGTAAACTTTCAGAAAACTATTTATTTGTATTTTTATGAAGTACAAAAAACATGGAGATACCTTCTTAGTTATAAATAATGACAAAGAGCTAAAATGTTCACATAACATTTCCAGTGACTGTTCTAAACTCAAGTAGTATTCGACCATAAGAACATTTTAAGAATTATAATAATAAATATATGTTATAATCTTATTAGAGAATGCTATAAAGCTAAACATTGAGTAATCTTAGCAATCTTACGAACTACCACAAATGACGTTCACCAATTTGTATGACTGACTATGTATTACAATTCCTTAAATAAAAATCATCAATTTCGATTCTCCCTGGAGTCATATAACTTCTCACGTACCTATACATACTGGTCTCCTGACGAATATTAGACCCATCCATCATTTTACTTCAGATCGTCTTCTTGCAAGTGAATTCGTAAATAATAAAATTGTGGGAGTGATACTTCGTGGGACAAAGTGAATTTACAATAGCGCCACGGGCGTGCGTTCAATACGATCGTCAAATAACATTTAGCCAGCCCACACCTTAGAAAATCGCAAAATAGAGACATCTACAGTATACAAAGCCCATGAAGCAGCGAACGGAACCATAACCGATAATTACTACCTTTGTAAGTCGTATATTTTGCGATTTTAAAACGAAACTAACAATACATTGAATAGAATCTATTGTAAAAATTAGAATGGAAATAGTTTTTGATTGAGCATCTTAAATTTATACGCTTTAGTATCTTGTACACTTTAAGTACAGTACATAATAGCTATTTCGTCAGGAACATAGTTATTAACCAACAAATCCCAAAAAGAATTAGACGACAAAATAAAATTTTATTTACAACTTTGCAAAGACTAGGAAATATCAAACAAACAGATACAGTAAATGCAAATATATATAATGTCATTATATACACTGACCATTAAGTATGTAGCAGTTCATACAAAAGAAAGAAATGAAAACGTGTCCACAGTCTTTAACTTGTAAAATTAATGGTCTGTTATTCGTATTTGTTCGTCGTGTAGCCGATCGAATCTGCATATAAGTGGGTAGGTCTCCGGAATAAACTCATTCTGTGGATTATAGACAAGAAGCCATCGTCTGACAGTTCCATTACGAAAGCCTAATTTATATTTAAAGTAGTTATATCCAATCCTTGCAGATATAGCCCGGTGGTCCGCCCTGCACTTGGGAACAACTCTTTGATCGATAAAGTTGTAACTTTAATTACTAAACTGGAATTGAGCTTGTTTTAAAAGGACCCGCGCCACGCGTTTCATAGTCCTTATAAACCTAACTTCTATGGTAATGTACTGCATATTTTTATCTGTTTAAAAATAGATACCAGTAATGTGGCTTAAGAGGAACTCTTTCTCCTTGTCTTTTCTTTTCCTCCTAAGGATACAATGAACATTAATAAAAATTTCGTTACCATTATTCTAGCAATTTTTATTGTTTTATTTTCAATGAAGGTAACATTCCATTTAAAACTGTAAGATTGATGACTCTTGAACAATGTTAATAACGGCACTGACGAACATATCATCAAAAATTAGGCCTCGAATAGCAAAAGATAACCAACAGATGTATTTCCAAGTGATATAGGTGATTGTTTACTAGAATATGTTTGGCACAAGCCTGGTTATTGTAGGTATGAACACACCTTGCCGACATGTGTGCAATCCTTTTGCATCTGCCCGTATTGCACTGATTTTTATTTATGAATAATATGACGAATTATGCTTGAGCTTTTATTTGCTGTCACCTTTCCGGATGTCATTCGACAACGGATGTTATCTTGTGAAATGTAACTATCTAAATGTTGCAAAATTTATGCTGACTAACTCCTTTCTACTGTGAACTTTGATTTGTAATAATGGCGAGTTAAAGATTGATTGATTTGACTTAAAATTGTATTTAAATTTCCAAAATTCATAAAATAACAAACTTATAATAAAGACAAAGTTAAAAAGACAATACATTCAAATTTATGAAATTTAAATAACAAGTACATTGTACTACATTACCTACTTAAATGCCTTTTTTATTGACAACTGCTTTTTCTTTATTCAACCTATTCCCATTAAGTCATGTCCCTAACAATCCTCCACGAGGGATCTGTTAATAAAGTTATACACGCATGACAATGCACACAGAATGGCATATTGTTGTGCAACAGTCTGTCCGCCATTGACATATTAGCGTTTTAGTGGGCTCTTGACTATTGTGTACCCATATTTATGCTATAGAAGCTCACGTGGCTAACCAAATAATAGTTTTAACATAACTCCATTGTCGTGTAACGTGTGTGGCTCTCAAATTGAATTAGAAAGTTTTTAATAACGCCATAAATGTTTTTAATTACCTTTATCAGGTGGCCACGATCCGCGGCGGGACACACAGGGAGACGTAAATTTAAAACCAATTGAGAACCTATAAACGTTAATTATCGTACTAAAATCTATGAGGTCTAATCGTTCGAAGCAAACTCTTGGACAGCTTAATTATTAATTAGCCGCTAGATATAATTCATTGTTCAAGGATTGTCATTAGAGGAGCCACAATACATTGGACCAGGCTATTAAGAGAATCATTTAAGCAAGACTATTTCACACAAAATATTCGTTTTACTCATCCCATTTTTAAAATGGGTGGTAGTGAAATATTGTTTAAATTCTGCCGCGAGGTTTGGATTCCATTTTACAGTAAACAGAAGAAAAGATTAAAGGCGTTCATAATTCTTTACAGTTTATTCGAAATTCACGTGAAATGTAGATAATAAAATTACTACTAAGAATATAAATTTTGAGAATAATAGTAATTCTATATATGTCAGTCTGTCTTTTTATAAATGTTTTAACAAGCTGTGTTCTAGTTTTAAGAGTAAGATATAGCATTAAAATTACATAATGAAGACTGGCGCCATTTTATGTCAGGTGGACCTCTTCGCTGTCTCCCATAGAAGTCGTCGCCTTACCATGCGACACATTGGACAACTTATTATAAGTCAAAAGTAAATATTATAAGTCTCACTTCATCCTCC